GGGGGGGGGGGGGGAGAGGAAGGAGGCTAGATATTTAGACCTACTATTAGTTAAAAACTGTCTGCTTGGGGAGCTACATGTAGGAGTAGGGAGATGTGTATCATTTTATATTATTTCATGTATTTTATCTATTAGTACAGCATCGTATAAGAACTTCATTCAATTGAAATTTTAAGGCTGTATATACACTAGCGAGTGTGCATCTGTGTGTGTGTGTGTGTGTGCGCAAGCACGTGCGTACCTTGATTTAAAGGATTACCCCACCATCTCGATAGCAGTGACGTCATACGAGGGTCGTCATGGTGCTGCGTGGCAACAGTCGGCAGGTTCTTGTGACGAAATATTTTCACAAGATGGACGATTTTTTCCACAATACAATTTTCTTCACATGTTTTCTTAAAGCGATTTTGTACGTCTATGATCAGCAGCGCAGTGTTCCGGGACATGACAAAAACTACATTCCTGTAAAATACAATGACAACTTTAATGAAAAAGTCAAACATTTTTTTTTTTTTTTTTGGGGGGGGGGTATTGAAAATTTTAATCAAAAGGATGAAGGTGATTTGTCAAGCACACTAGAGGTAATTTCTTGTAACATGTTAACTTTGAATTAATGTAGAAAAGATGTATGTTACGCAAACATATGCTACGCAAAATATTTTGAGAGTGGAAATTCATCTGCGGGTTATTTATTTATTTATTTATTTATTTATTTATTTATTTATTTATTTATTTATTTATCTAAAATTCAGGTTTGAAACTAAACTTTTTTCTACAGGCGAAGTGTAAGAGAGCGTCTCTAATTCCTTGTTTATTCATTCTTCATTCCAGCCCTCTAACCATCGATAAATAATCTAAAAATATCATTTTAATCTTTATTCATATCTGTTTGTCGACTTTTTGTAAACGATAGAAATATTCTATCGAACAATATCATTTATTTATCGTCATTTCTGACTGTATCGAAAGTTTTTTTACATAGTCCCAATACAATGTTATCGTCAAAATCAGTTCTGAATAATCCGATCGCCACTCTACCCGTACTTCCCCTTTATTCTCATAAGCTTTTTACATAACATTTAATCTATTGAAATCGCTGGAATCAGCTATAAATTAATCCATCGTTAAGCTGTCAACTTTTCTCATTATTTCTGTAAATTTTGACATAAGTTTAATCAGTTTATCGTTAAGCCTATCAATACTCTCCTTTTCTCGATCGATAAGAATTGATACATTCCGATCAAAGGTGAAATGGTGATTTGTTTTGCCATTTAGTCATTACCAGTTGTGATCTATTGTCGAAAAACAAACAATATTTTATCCATATATCTGATTTGGTGTAGATGATATTGATATTTCAGAAAAATGATTGATGGGAATGATAATTAGGGGTCTCTCTCTCCCTCTCTCCACCTCCTTTCTCCCCCCCCCCCCAATTCTCTCTCTCTCTCTCTCTCTCTCTCTCTCTCTCTCTCTCTCTCTCCGGCTCTCCATCTCTTTTTCTCTCATTTGTGCAATGCTTTGGTAAGTACAAATAAATAACTAACATTCTGAACAATGCCAGATATACTTCACTTTTTTAAAAATCAAACAATAGTTGATTATATAATCTATCTATTTATTTATCCCTGCCATAGACTCTCTCTCTCTCTCTCTCTCTGCAGAGTAATCTGACTCATTTATTGATCACGTGATAAATTATCGTCCTTGCCCCTAGAGATAACCCCTTCTGAGATAACGAATGATTCATAATTCAAATTCGTTACATTGTGTTATAAAACTTGCCCTTCTTTTTAGGCTTAACTTAGCGGCTTTATAAAAATAGCAAGCGGTGCTCGATACTCAGTTACTGCTGGTATGGTTTTGCTTATAGACGCAACTGAGTTGAACAGCCAGCATTTTTATCGTGGTGTCAAATAAATGTTTGATAAACTTTATTGATAACGTCTACGAAAGAAATATGAGAGAGCTGAACCCGTTTACCTGCAAGACCACGAAAATGGCATTGGTTTATTTTCTCTTATGCAGTATTTCTATTTCTCTGGTGCTGTCACTAGCACATGCACGAACATGTACAACGGTGGCACGCTCGCGCGCGCGTCCACTAACACACACACACACACACACATGCAAATAGACACACAGAGCAGAAAATCTCTCTCTCTCTCTCTCTCTCTCTCTCTCTCTCTCTCTCTCTCTCACGCACACGCACGCACACACACACGAACATACACATAAGCCTACTGTGATTGCGCAGGTTACTCATAAACACACACACGCACACACACACAAACACACACACACACACACACACACACACAGAGTCACTTCTCTCCTTATTCTTCCCTATTTCCATTGTAATCAACCCATATCTTTCCTGTCTCTTCCATCAAATCACCCAAAGATTACTAATTGCCAAATGATACTCTAATTACCTTTTCCCGATCTGCCGCTTGCCTCTTCTACGTTCAACGGGAACGATTCCTCTATCGCCATTTCTCCGACCTTATTTACCAACCTATGTAACGAGCGATAAGCTCGCACCACAAAATGGAGACATCTTTCTGTGTTGAGATTACGCATTCAATAGTGTATCAACGACGAAACCAATTAAATCATCATTATTATCTGTTAATTATCACAAAGTCAATGCGGTTGTCTTGTTCTAGAGATTGGTTATAATCAAGGCTGATTTCAAGCGTGTGAGGATATGTAGATTTTGGAGTTTGAGGCGGCGATAATAGCCCGGCGACGGCGGTGGGATTTAGCTGGCGTTTTCACTCTCGCTTCTTGTCGTCTGCCTTGTTAGTACAGACGTCGACATTGATAGGAAATCTTGCAGACTTAATCTCAAATGTTTGCTGATCTCATGAAATTTTGGAAAATTATGCACAAAGGGAGGGACATGTAAGATAAAGTCTGATTTCTACCATTCAAAATTGAAAAATTTTCTCTAGCCATTTATTTTTTCCCTTGAAGCGTGTGTGCGGGCTTTGGCGTTTTCTAAAATGTGCGTGCGTGTGTTTGCAGAGTTGGCGAAAAGTGCTTCCAAAAGCAGAAACATTTAATGCTTCCTTAATGTGGGGTCTTAATTGTCATATCCACACATTTAATTTATAAAACGCGTCTTCAAAGAACATTTTAAAAACAGGCGTGTATACAGAATTATTTGATTGAATCAATAAAACAAATCTGCACTTATATCCTTCCAAATATTTCGACATCAACCCCGTTTTTGACCAGATTCTCCGTATCACTTACCACACAGTAAGAAATAGTAACAGTTTTTCATGGCTACGCTGACAGCTCTAACCGCTTATCTAAACATGTTTACAGACCGTCCTACCTCGACTTCTGTATGTGTGCCGATCATATGGAGGGGGTCTTGATATGAAATGATAAGCTAATAATATTGATAACTTATTGTGAGTATGGCAAAGCGAGAGCCAGAGCCTGGGAAATTGCCACGATGTTTTGTAATGTAGGCCCTATTTGTCTTGTGAGTGCAAGCCCGTGGGCAGGGGTGAGATGGGGTGGTGGGTGGGGTGGGGCTTGTGGGTCCGAAAGAAAAGCTCTTTTGCTCAGTTGGTTGAGTGCTGAATCAAAAATTTTGTTTTGGGTTTTTATGGCATTTTTTGAGTTTGGTAAACTATATGGATAAAGAGATAAATTTTATCAGAAAAAAAAAAAAACGTTTGAAATTGTTGGCTACTGGCATGGCTCAGTTGAATTGTTCCCTTTTTTTTTTTTTTTTTTTTTTTGTAGACGTATTCAGAACAAAAAGTAAGTGTTTGAATGAATGTATTTGAGTTAGACTATATTTTCCTGCATCTTGCTATTTTTTAATTATGCCGATCATATTCATCCGTTGTTCATCATATGTTCATCGCATTTATCAGTCCGTTGTTCTTTTATTTAAAATAAAAGAACAATGACCCCTTAATACACGTCTGTACAAAAATGCAGTTCTCTTAAATTTTACAGGTGTCCTTTTGAAAGGAACAAAGATGCCTTTTATTTATTATATTTGTAATAGGCCTGTTTATTTCAACTGATGAAATAATACGCGTGTGCGAAAATGTACAGATTGACAAATATAAGATTAGACTATAAGTTATAAGAAATTAAAGCATTAATTAAACGAAGAAAATACTTATAAGTCTTTCAACTTTTTCCATTCTTTATAATTCGAATCATATCCAAAAAGTTTCATGCTGGAATAATCATCAAAATTTTTCAGTGTGCTTTTTTTTTTTTTTGTAGGCTCTGAATCACAAAACAAAGTGCTTACTTAAATTCACGTGAAGATAAAAGAAACACCCTTAAACAAGTCGTAACTGAGTCCCAATATTCACCATTTTGATTTTTGAATGGACACAATCTGACGGCTGCCTATCCCAGGCCTTCCCAACTACCAGACTCAGCACCTACGGGTCCAGTATAAACCGGTTTATCTGACCACACTACCCGTTTTCAAGGTGTGTGTCAGATCGCATAAAAGAGTATCATACCCCATCACAAATTTTGTAAGCCTACCTGTCATCCGGGTATCGCGCCTCGTTTTCGTCAAGTAGGAGTCGTATGAATACAACAACATGGAAATCGGCAATCCTCGGCTCATTCCGCAAGCTCCATACTATTGTCGAGTGCGGAGACATTGGTGTAGTTCCGAGTGACAACATGGCGACAGACGACTCACTGAATCTCGTCCAGAAAATATTTAACCCCCGACAGATCATTGGCTATGTTCGAACCTAAATTTTATGTTAAAAATTGCGGTATTGTCAGATTTTTAGCATAAACAGGGAAAATTGCAGCAGCGCATGAATGTAGATGAGATGCACTACTTTCCAACCCCGCTTTAGACCACGGTGGAAGTGAAGAACAAAAGATTCAGACGTGGTGTAACTCGCATAACCGCACGTCTTGCATGAATGCGTTATAACCCGCTAATGGACCCGTGGTCTAAATAAGATAGATCCCTCGTCAGCGAGGGTTATGTGACATCCACTCGTGCTTCGCACTCGTGTATGCCACATAACCCTCGCTGACTCGGGGTCTATCTATTACTAGGATCATCGCCATCACATCGCGCACCAGGTAAAATCGGTGTGGTGGCTGATACTCTTTTATGCGATCTGACACACACCTTGAAAACGGGTAGTGTGGTCAGATAAACCGGTTTATACTGGACCCGTAGGTGCCGAGTCTGGTAGTTGGGAAGGCCTGGAGTTCAGAGCTCCATTCTTGAGGCAAACTGACTTCCTTCTTTTACGGTATCTCCGTATTCCCTTTACTATGGTCACCGAATTTTTTTTTTACTAGATATGCACAGATATTTTTCTGGCTATTCCTTTGCTGTACTGTCCAGCAAATGTTTTTCAAAAAAAATAACATTATCAGAGAAGGCATTTCTTGAAAGATGTAGTTTAGTTATAGTAATAAGTAATAAGGGTTTATTGTTCTTTCTTTACATTATAGACAGCATATATCATATGCAAAGTCTAGTTGCGTTTCATATATAAACAGCACGTGTGGAAGTTTAAGTGCCACTTTAAAATTTATCTCATAATAAATAAATAAATAAATAAATAAATAAATAAATAAATAAATAAATAAATGTTTGGGAATGATTGTTTCCGTCTAGCCAAAACAACAAAGAGAAGCATCATTTTGATTAAAATAATCTAATGATAATTTTCATAACACACAAAATCATAATTGGCAAGCTTTTAGTGATAATGTATACTGTATATTAATTATGCTAGATAACTAATGAGATTTGCTTTTCTTTCTATCTATGCAACGCAACAACGAGGAAAAGTAGTTTGATAACTGCAATATTGTTGTGCTTTTAACCAGATACGGAATGATAGTTGAAGAAATTATAGTGCCCAACAATAAGATATAAATTTTCTGCACAATTGATGTTTTCTGTTCTATCTCTCTGAAGCAGGAACAAAGAATACCACCTAAAGATACACGCAATCTACATTATTAATTATTTCCAATTTATCGACTGCCATTTTTCCAAATCTGAAGTGGCGTTGTTAGCTGCATGTTTAATAAGATTTGAGGCATTTTGCCTATCTTTCTGAAGCAAAAAGTGGGGACTTCATTTGTTAAATGCAATCTCTAGGTATTTTCATAATCATTTATAGTCATTTTACAGATAGCCTAGCGTTGTAAAATATTTGCTGAATAATCTTTACGATATCTTGCATTTTGTAACAAAGAAGAATTATTTATTTTTGTTAATCTTAAGTCCGTGTTACATTTCTTCCTCTGGGTCTTTCAAATAATCTGTCATACATATTACAGGCATAATTGCTGTATTTTATGATTTTTTTAATGATTTCATCTTATTTTTCTACGCCGAATCTTCCACAGATAATCCATATTAGGAGAGCATATAATTCTATTAAGCATCAGTTCGCGAAACCATTACTAAGATTTACATTAACCTGTGTGTCTATGTACTACAACAAAGAGGAAGCTTACTTTGATACTCATAATCTCTGGGATACCCGCTTTCAGATAGCAAATCATACTTGAAGGTCTAGAATTGCTAATATATTGTGAGTCGCTTAATAATTACAACTCGAATCGATACTACTCCTAATTTTATGATAAGTTTCCTCATATTCTAAAGTCATATTTTATTATACATTTAGATGGTTTCTTGATATGGTTGTTAGTTTCATTTATGCTGCAAGTGCTTATTGGCACATCTGGTTATAAAAACTTGAATTAAAATATGTGGCCTATATATTCGTGGCCATTTGTGCACGATTTTATAACCTCTTTGTATTAAATAATTTCTTATTTATTTATTTATTTATTTATCATAGGCTGCATAGTTTAATCCATTTTTATCATCGCAGATTTTTTTCTATTTCCAAATATCCGCAATTTTTAGATTAAACAATGTGTGTTTAAAAGGTGTGTTAAAAGGTCTTTTGAAATTCAAAGACATGAAATTAGGAAATAATACGAACAAGCCCTTTCTTTCATAGTAGACTATAGCAAGTGTTTGTCTAGAAGATACCAAATATTACCACCTAGTTTAGTCAGTCACTGCTTAAATATTGCACCTGTGACAGCGGTCTCATTGTCTTTGACAACGCCAATGTCACACCGGAATGTGGGCCTTTCATGTTGCCGTCTCTCTCTCTCTCTCTCTCTGCTGATTCTTCATATTTACAAACAAATGCTTCACAATCTGAATAATACCAAGCATTTTGTAATTCTCAGAAAACAGACAATAACCAATTTTTCACCCATTTTATCAGATCCCTTTCGACAGGCAAAAATTTAATCTCTCCCTCTCTCTTTCGCTCGTGCAATACCGAGATATTTACAAACAAATGATGGAAAATAAATGACATTTTTTCAATTCTTTTAAAAGAGACAATATATAATCCATCACATAGTTTAATCATTTCTTCTCCCTCTGACATAAATTTTCAAGTATTTTCTTTTCCTTGTTCCTGAACCGTGCGCTATATCTGACCGAATAATGTAATTAGTTATACGATCGTGACATTACAAGTGTTTTTTTATCTTGTGCAATGTTTTTGTGTGTATTGTTTTGTCACACAACAGGTATCTATAAGGACGCTGGGTCAGATAAAAAGCTGGGGGTCACGTTTTACTAGATTGGCGATTAGGTAAAGACGGAGAAAAACAGAACTGTCGAGAGGGAGAGAGAGAGAGAGGGGAGAGAGGGAGAGAGGGGGAGAGAAGGGCGGTGCGGGAGGAAGGAAGAAGATAGGGAGAACATTACAGAATTGTCACATATAAATGACTTTATTATAATGTGGTGTGACTGTGTGTGTGTGATTGTGTGTGTGTGTGTGTGTGTGTTTGTGCGCGTGCGTGCGTGTGTGTGTGAGAGAGAGAGAGAGAGAGGGAGGGAATTTTACTATCTTTCAAGTTCCATTTTTTTCCTACGAACTCACTCTCCCCCCTCCACTCCTCACCACCTTATTTTGGATCCGAAAACCCCCAAATTCCATCACGTAGCTCCCACACAAGAACGCTGTCGCCTAATTATTGAATGAAGTATTTGGAGGGCGACAGGGTTGAAACAAACCGAGTTATCTTTGACTTGGAATTGATCTATGATTACCAGTGACAGGTCCCGATAACTCTGCACAACATCAATGAAGAAAGCGAGAACGACTGTAATTAAGAGAGATGAGGAAGACAGCTTGGTCATCATTTGTCTTGATAATGATAGCAGGGAAGAATCAAGATATTAATTTGTTGAAGTTAGGGTCGAGGTATAGATTATTCATTGAATGCGGGATGGGGAATTTGATATGCTACTTGTGTTTGCTACTGCGGTGATTTGCCGCATAAGTTGAGTTGGACGTTTCTTCTCCACCCTCCTCTCTCTCTTTTATACTTTACTCCTTTGACTTTGATTCTTTGTTTTCTTTTCAAAGTTTTAAGAATTTGATAACAGAGTTTCATATTATTCATATTTTATATTGGGATAATGACAAGAAGACGTGGAACCAAGAAAAAAAAAACAGAATTTTTCTTATTAATTCACTGGCTATTGCGAGCCAAATGCTGCACTTAAGAGCGATGCACCACTGGGGATATCTGCACCCTCTCCCAACACCCGCCACCCCACCCCACCCACCCTACCAACATTTGAACACTATACAGTGCACCGAACTCCCCCCCACCCCCACCCCCACCCCATCAATGGCAAGGCCCTTTCCGGGTGACAGGTGACACAAATCCCATATTATGTAAGTAAAAACCCAATCCCTAAACGTCTTCATCGCCCTTCCCTAGCTGTTGTTCAGAAATGCGCAAGAAATTCTCGGTTCGTTGTGGAGGCCGCTTTTCCCGGGCGACGACGGTCCCTAGTTCCACAGACACTGTCAATAAAGGATTGAAGCGATTTCACGGCTTCCTGGGACACCTGACGAACGCCCCTTGCACGAAGCGCACAAATTACTTCAGATGGATTTAAAATATTGCACAACAGGTTTGGAATAATGCCGGCTTACGGTGGAGTTCTTATCAGAAATCAAATAAATTTTCTTAATGATTATTTGTGTTGGCGAGGTCTGTGCGAATTGGCCACCTTTGTAGACTTGCACTTAATTTGTCCCCAGGTGAGCGAGTGCTGATTTTGGGGAATATTGCGTATTTTTTGTCTGTTAGGACTGAGGTACTTTAGGCCGGGAATCGGGACAACTTGCGTCGCCAGATGACCTGAGAGAGAGAGGGAGAGAGAGAGAGAGAGAGAGAGAGAGAGAGAGAGAGAGAGAGAGTTATAAGAAGCAGAAAACAAAAAAAGACCAAGGCTGAAATGCAAGAATGGAGTCATCTATTGCTAATGAGCTTGAAAAACAAAAACAAAAGTTTTTACCTTTCGAAAATGATAGTGCTACCTTATAGTACTGTATCATAAGTATGAACCTTTCAAAAAACAAACAAAAAAACATACGATAGTGCTTACAAATAAAATGGTAAAAAAGGGGGGAGCTGAAACGTATAAAAAAGTAATTATTCCGCTAGTCATCCGTTAGTTGTTAATCCTTTGAAAAGGAAATTAATGATTTATCAATAAAGAAAATTAAAAAACAAAAGGGGAGGTAAAATGGTCAATAACTATGAACAAAAGTTTTCAATTATTTGTTATTTTCTGCTATAGGTTCACTAGTCATAAAGGCGCGGATGCCGGTAGTAATACATAGTTTCCGTAGCGTCAAGATAACGGCATTTATTTAAGCTGATACCGCGTTCACCATTACTCCGCGGTTAAATATTGATCACCGAATCCCAGGCTTTAATACGCTATTGTTAAATTAAATTTTGTTTCAATCCTCTCTGCGTGTAAACAAGCGACTAATCCGTCAGATGATAGAAACGCCATCGGGACAGCGTAATGTTCAATTGAATGGAAGGCGACCAACTATAGTTCTTTGATAGGTTCAAATTAACTAAAGACAAAACTGAGGTGTCAATTTAGAAGAGTTTGTGAGCAGTATGTGTTACTGTTGGTGGCTGTGTTGCCTTAACATTGGAAGGGGTGGATTTGTTTGAATTCAGAAGAAATAATGAACGAGGAAATTTTTGACAAATTAAAGTTAGCATAGCGAATTTTTTCATTTTGAAAAAATCTATGCAACTAAAAACAAAAACAAACAAACAAACAAAAAAAAAACTCAGATGATACTAATTACTATTACTACCTTGTATTTTTTATCTTTATAATCACTGTGGCGTTTCGCATCAAACCATTCAATAATTCACTCATAATCAGTTGTGCTTTACAAAGCGTATCACATTATGTTAATTATAATAATAACGAATTAAAATTTTACAGTCACATGGAGTAAGTTGTGCAGATGCTCGTGGACGATTGCGACAGAAATCTTCTCTAACACAACCGGTCTTATCTTACTTCTTGGAAGTCTCTCCGGCAAATACTAGTACCTGCCAAGTAAAAGGTAGATTCGATTTTCTGTTGAGAGAGAGAGAGAGAGAGAGAGAGAGTAAAAACAAAGCCAACAACACATACACTTATGAAATTTAATATCATATAACCGAGTACACATTCCCTACATCCACAACTGTTTTCTTTTACACGGAATATGAACAGATATGAAAATTAATGAATACCTGATGCAAAATAAATATACATCTACATGCATATCACTTGACTGCAGCATAATCCTCTCGATAATGTATCGAATCTTGCATATCAGATCTTGATATTTTTTTTTGCAAAATACTTACTTCACAACTTGCATTACTATCATTTCTGAAATCTTACTTTGTAGTTATAACTCACATTTTAACGTTATTTTCAGTATTTGATGACATAAACCAATTTCGTGTACTAAAGCTACCTTAGTTAACCTACATTACGATAAGTAGGTCATGTGAAAATGCTGTTCTTTCATTGTTAAGTAGGTCAAAGTGTACCAATTATTAATAAATCACTTAAGTACTTAAGCTTTTATAACCTTTTACCCCTATACCAATGCCTTTCAACAAATCATGATTCATGATAAATGTCACAGGTGTGTATGTCCTTCCTTTCCCTTCTTCTTGAAATAAAAAACATTCATCAAAAAGCATCCTGAAGATGATATGTATCACTACAAATTATCATAAAATGTTATGTAATGACCAAAGAGAAAGAAACTTGACAATAATCTGGGTGAAAGTTCTGCAAGACAAGAAAAAATTTTCACTATTGTATATCATGCTAGTTATCTTCCCTTTGCGGCTGTCTTTATATTACTGCCTTATATAAAGAAGTTCTTTTCCTGCCTCTCCCCCCCCCCTCGTCCCAACTTTGCAGGTTACTGATTTCCATCAGGTCATATTTTTACCCAAAAGATTAAAAACTTAGCAATAATAACACAAAGAGACCAACTTAGCAAGAGATACTGTTTTTGAATTAGTCCAATATCTGAAGCAATTAAATAATGATAATTAAAATGAATAAGATTACACCATATGAGCATTACAACTGCTTACATCAAAAGATTTACATTTGTACAAGATAGCATAATAATAATAATAATATAATAGTACACCATGTACATATATTACATGACTCCATAGCAAAGTTACAAAGCATTACCATGAAGCAGCAAGAACATTTTTTTTTCTTTTTTTTTCAGCATTTCCTGTGCCATTACCAAAGCTCATCATCTAGTGCTAACTTTCTGCCTCTATTGATTTTTACGTGACTGCTTTTATTGACATTACCCTACTCAGTGTCAAAAACCTTGGCACTTTTTCACACCATACGCATCTTACATTATGTTATTATCATTTCGGAATATGACCTTAATAGTCTAGAATATAATTGCCTAGAATCATACAATCCTATTAATAAGCACATCCCTAAGTGTATCAGTACACTGGTAATACATCCACAGAAAAGGGCATTTTAAGCTGGAACATACATATCTCAATATGCCAGAACATATCTCAATATACCAGAACACATCTCAATATGCCAGAACATATCTCAATATACCAGAACATATCTCAATATGCCAGAACACATCTCAATATGCCAGAACATATCTTTCGATATGCCAGAACATATCTCGATATGCCAGAACATATCTCGATATGCCAGAACACACCTCAATATGCCAGAACATATCTCGATGTGCCAGAACACTGAAACAAAGTACAAAGACGTGTAGAATAAGATATCATTACATATAGGGTTAAACGACTCACAGTCACATCCTTTCTTGTTTATAAGTATAGATATTTCACAAGTTTTTCAAAAACTTGTTGCAGAGCACTCTTATAGCTTTGGTGCTCCTTTTTATTTAATAACATAATTACCTTAAACAGTTACCGTGAAAATGCTTGTCCATACTATCTCCAAAAGTGACCCATACTTTGCCACATGACAATACCATCTGTTCATAGTCCCCAAATCAAGGAAGATCACTCTAAAAAGTACAGTATAGTATTCAGGACCCCAAAACTGAACTACGGATATCACCTCCCCCCAAACAATCTTTGTGGCTGTCTGAATTATCAGACACAAAAATGATTCATAATTCTACAATGTCAATTAAAACTAATAATATAAATGAATCTTTCCACTGCATATTACCAGAATCATTTTTCTTGTTTGCAAAGCCAAGGATTTGCGCACCCCAGGTAGAGCGGCTTGAGTGTTAGCCAGCTAAGCTTATTTCATAGCTAGCTTAACTTATGTGTTTGCCTACTAAAATTTGTGTTTTAGCCAACTACAACTTGTGCTTTAGCAAGCTAAAACTTGTGTGTTAGCCAGCTAAACATGGGAATATGACCATTTTTTTCAGTACATAGCTTGAGGGGGTCTTTTTAGTACATGGGTTGAGAAGGTTTCTTGGCCGTGGTGGATTTTTTGGTCGTCCACAGAGAGTTCTGTATGGTGATGGCGTCTATGGAGACAGACAGGTGCTTGGTACTGGTGACCTGGGCAAATTTCTTGCCTCCTGAATTATACCTGAAATACATTTAACAAAGGTAAAACATGCTTTTTAAATCAATTTGTGTGTTAGCCAACTAAACTTATGTGTTAGCAAGATTAAACTTGTGTTTTAGCCAGCTTAAACTTCTGTGTTAGACAGCTAAACTTAGTAAGTTCTTGCCTCCTGAATTATACCTGGAATAGATTTGATCAAGGTAAAAGGTAATGATAACTTTAGGAATTACATCAAGTATATATGATGATGAGTCGATCTTTTAATTGGGGAAACTTGAGAATTTTACAGATATTGTATTTTTTAAGTAATCAATTCTTAAAACTTGAACATTCTCGTTGAGTGGTTGCAACAAAATTGAAAAGCAGGCTACCCTATGTTTCTATTGTATACAACTGAAGCACTAATAATGCAAAATGGAATTAAAGTTGAAATTATTTAAAAATTATGTTGCCCATTGAAGTGATCGAGTCTACCGTATCCACTCAACATATACAGGTTGACAAGTTTTTATCAGGTATTGGACTAACAATATATCTAAAAACTGATTCACTTCTTTTCAACCAATTTTAGAACAAAATTTCTCTCTCTCTCTAAATCCTTCTCTCTGTACTTACTTGTAAAACCTGTCCATCATTTTGCTGGTGATCTGCTTGGGGCCAGTCCCGGTCAGTTTCAGCACCAGTTCTCTCTCTGGTTGGAATGTGTACAGTGCGCGGTACTGCTGCTGGGCATCTCGGAACAGAATCAGGAAGTGTTTGGCGTCTGACATCTCTAATTCCTGGGGATATAAATCAATAACGTAAAATATACATTTTGGAAACAATTGTGAATGCCTGGGTATTAATTATTAAGTTGAACTTTTTTCCAGATTCTGAGCAAAAACTACCTAGAAAGCAACTGTAAAGTCATTTTGTTTCAATTTCATGAATTACCTGTGTATTTGAAAAAAGTAATTTAGTTGGAAAAAAACATTAAACATTAGATGGGGAAAAACTATTCAGCTTATCAGTGTTTGGTATTATTACTGCATTGTTCATCTGTGTATTTAAAACAATGATTTCGCTGAAGAATATTAGGCACTCTATCTTACCTCTAAAACTTTATTTCTTATCTCAGTGTTAGGTATCCCAGCCAGGCAGCTGTCTTTAATGGCATTGTGAACTATGTGTTTATTGGATTTGGAACTGGGTTTCACGAATAATTTAGGTCCTGAAATATCAAAAACAAACTTAACAAATAATTCAAGTATTAAAAATTATGATCTAATTAAATGTCTCCACTTTATAGCAGACTAGGTTTGTTGTTTGCAAGGCCTATGATTTGTGCACCCTAGGTGGGCAGATTGTGTGTTAGCCAGCTAAAATTGTATTTTAGCCAGCTAAAATTATGTGTTAGCCAACTAATCTTATGTGTTAGCCAGCTAAACTTATGTGTTAGCCAGCTAAACTTATGTGTTAGCCAGCTAAACTTATGTGTTAGCCAGCTAAACTTATGTGTTAGCCAGCTAAACTTATGTGTTAGCCAGCTAAACTTATGTGTTAGCCAGCTAATCTTCTGTGTTAGCCAGCTAAACTTATGTGTTAGCCAGCTAAAACACGTTTGCCAGTTAGAAGTCTGATTTCAGTCCACCTTTTAAGTTTTAGGCAAATGGTTTATCAAGCTTAAAGCACTGCTCTAACATTCAGGCGCTGTGATTCCATTTACTGTCTTCATGCCAATAGAATATTGTGAGATTTCTTTCTTTCTTTTTTTTTTCAAATTTGAACATTTCTCACCACACCTGAATACTCTCCGTGATGTCCGTTTTCACTTCCATTTTCACTGTGACTTCCCCTTAGACTAGGACTTGGGCCTTTCCTGTGTGTCAGTGCCATCTGGTGACCATTTTCTATGTCAAGCAAAGCAATAATACTATGACTACAAGGCCAGTGTTCCCATCACTGATAAACATTTGCAATAACTACGTGACAATGAAGCACATTTTCTGGCTCCAATTTTTTCCACTAAAGCTAGCCAAGCAATATTATGCGATGTTTTTGCTATTAATCATTTTATTCTTAATATATAGAAACTTAGCAAAATTTTAACAAATGGATTTTGTTCTGAAAAATTTTTTTTTTTTATTTTCAAGCTTAGTCATATGATTAAGCAAGCATGAAAGCACAGTTATATTATATAAAGTGACTCCACAACAATTTGATTATACAATTTTGTAAATTATGTAGTCCCCACATTAGTTGGGAAGTTTGGACTGAAAATTTCTTTCAAGTTACGCAAAGACTAAAATTAACAAAGTAAATAAGTTTCAGCTAATATAAACAATAAAATCTATCAACAGTATTCGTCCAAGATAAATAATTTAAAAATAATATTCATAAGGTCACAAGCCTTGCAGAGTCCACAGTGTACAACTGGCCTTTACTGTATAATTCACCCATTGGATCTTCTTGGTAGTTTTTAAACAAAATATACTTACCCTTAATCATAAATAGTTATACTTATATTAAAAATAAATATACCTGCCATACCTTGCTGAGCAGGACTAGTGGGTCTCCTGTGAGTGACACTGCCCAGGTTTAGACTGTACCCAGTGGAGGTGGGAGGTGCCGCAGAGTCTGGTTGGTCTGGGTAGTAGTTGTTTAACATGGAGCCTATACCTAATATATAACATATACTTTATATCTCTTTATATCCATATATATATTGTCAGAGCAGAGTTGCCCACTTGGTGTGGGAAGGAGTTGTATTTAACATAGGACCAATACCTAAAGTATAAGATCAAAAATAAATCTATTTAAATCTAAAATAACACCTGTGCAAAAACTACACCTAGAATAGGAAAATAGTATTCAACATTATGGATGATAAAGTTTTTAACCAGTTATAGTGGGGTAAAATCTGTTTAACTGCTTGAGAATGTGCTAAATCTGCAACAAATGTGCCAAGTGGAACTTATTATTATTATTATTATTATCTACAGTCTAGAACTCTGTAATGTCTAACTCTATCAGCTCCCTACCTCCAGACAGAGCAGTAGAGGTGGCCGACTTAAAGTCATCTTGAACTGGGGCAGGCTTTGTCTTGGAAGACTTGCTCTTGCTGTTTGTAGACTTCTTCTCTCCCCCTTGTGACGAACCGCCGTAAGCTGCGCTGTCTTCTGCCTCTTTTTTCTTCTGGATATACTGCTGGTAGATCTTATCGCGCCTCATCTTTTCCTCTAATTTTTTCTGCTCGGCTTCCAACTGTTTCAATCTGTAATACAGTATGGGACCTTTGTTTTATGAAGGTAATTAAAATATGGTACACTGCATTATGGACTACCTAGGAGACTGATTGTAACTTTATAGTGAAAGGTTATCAATTGATTGGCAAAATGCCTGTTGCTATAAGATAGATCAGGAAAAATATATGAAAATATTTGAAATAGTTAACCTTGACTATTTATAACAAGAAAGTCTTTAGAATAAAACGTCTAGTTGCCGTGCAGACTGAGAGTCTTTTAAGTCTCATCCTAGATACCTACATACCTCTGGTTTTCACTTTTCTTTGCATTTTCTATTTCTAGTTTCCGTCGTTTCTTTTCTGCTTCCTCTTGTCGCTTCTGTTGCAACTGTTCAAATTTCTCTTGCTTCTTCTGTTCAAAGCTCTGAAAGTGAAATTAATCAAATAAACAAACAAACAAAACAGTAAATGGAAAATTTTGATAAAAAGCTTACAAACAAGATAACCAATTTTATGATCAGATATTTACAATGAATGAGAGCATTTCTTAAGGAGAATATAAATGAAAACAACTTAATATCTAACTTTATATATATATATATATATATATATATATATAAACAATGAGCACAAAGCTACACGAAGTCAGAAAATATAACATTCACAATCATTTCTTATTGTCAACTCACAGTATCTGACATGCTTTTGTCCTCAATCACAAACCCTAACCCAGGTGATACTGTCTTCGTGGCCGCCATAAAACTCCCCAGCGAGCTGGAAGATGGGGCTGGAGAGGCCGTGACTGAAGCCTTGCTTTTCTTCTCATGCTCCTAAGATTAAAGAATGAATTGCTTATTTCTCATTTTAGTAGTCCATTTTCCCCTCTCTCTCTGCTTTGAAGAATAATCCAACCTATTAGTCTATATTTAAACACCTATTTATCTCTGGTTTGTTGTTTCTTTTTCCCCACTTGGTAGTTTATCTTATGCATAGAATCTACCTACTTTTTTTTCCATACAATTATACACCTTATTAACCTTCAATGCTCTACTCTTAGGTCAATAACTTCTATTTTTTTTTGACAACATTTCATTTTATTTTTCAGCTAAGCTTGACAGTGAACTACATCATGTTAAAAAGAAAATCCATATTTCACAGCCATTTCATTTTCATAGTAACTTTGTGTCGAACAGTTTCATTAGCTATATTATTGTTATCTTTGCAAGTCCATAGTAACTTACCTTCTTAGCCTTTGGTGTTTTTTTCTTGGGTTTCTTCGGCGTATCATCAGCAAATGTCACAAAGAACCCCTGAGCTTGGGGCAGATCTTCGCCACCGCCGGTATCACCATCATGATCACCACTTCCATCACCATCTCCCAGCTTGTCATCATAGGGGGCCGTCACCACTGGCACACTAGTCACCGGCGCCTCAGACACCCCACCATACTGCCCAGTGACACCAGTAGGTGGCGCTGTGGAGTACGGCGCCTGGGTGGTCACGGTGAATGTTGTGGCCAGTTCCTGCTGTAGCTGATATGTGCTGCTTACACCCTGGGAGTCCTGGGGCTGCTGATACCCTGGGGATGGTATATGCTGTGGTGGCTGAGGGGTCCTGTCTGGTTGCTGTGCTGGTGACATAGGATGCTCAGGGTGCTGGGACTGGAAAAACAGAAAGTTGGTTTTGGTATGTGGATATCATTGTGTGTTAAATCTTCAGTCAATGTGGTGAGTATTATCAACCGCTAAATATTACAATTAAAAATATACAAATTAATTAACAAATAAAAACTGAAATAATTCAATCATCATCCAATACCTGATATGTACTCCCCATGCCCTGTGTATCACCCTGGTGCTGGCTCACTGGCGACATCCCATGTTGCTGTACAACGCCACCTTGTGGTGAGCTCACACTGTATGGTGGCGCCATCTGTGGACTCATGGCTGCAGAGGCAGGGGGAGGGTACCCAGGGTGCTGCACATACTGTCCCATGGGGAACTGCGTCCCTGGGGGATACACCCCAGCTGGGGGGCGGGAGGGTTGGGTTATCCCGGCAGGGTACTGAGGGGCATGTAGAGGGGGGTACTGCCCCTGGGTCCCTACAGAGTGTGGTAACCCATGGTAGTGACCAGTGAACCCCGGGTGTTGTCCAGTGGCCATAATGGGATGACCTGTGGCCATTGTGGACTGACCAGGCTGACCAGTAGCTGGTTGTATAAAGTGACCAGTGGATATGGAAGATACTGCCCCTGGGGTTTGATACGGAACCCCTGTTGCACTGTGTAGCATAAATGGCTGTTGCTGTGGTTGTGGCTGGTATTGGCCATGTGGATGAAGTGGTGCGCCCTGGTGTCCACCAGGTGGCATTCCTGCTGCAACCGCACCAGGATCTCCTGCCTGGTAGAGCTGAGCGTACATTGTTGGATCGTGTATTTGAACCCCACCTTGCTCTCTGCTACCATAGACCTGCTGAGAAGACACAGTTGTTCCTTGACTCAGCTGTTCACTCCCCGCCACTGGTCTAACATCTCCCTCCTGATGTAGCGATGGCGTGGACTGGAAACTCTTACTCAAGGCTGTAAGCGGGCCTATTGGTTTATCATGCAGAAAGTATGTGCTCTGAGCATGGGATCGCTGTGAAGCACCAGCTAGCCCAGACATGGGTACTGCCGCCTCCTTCTGATGTCCCCACTCTCGTCGCGGTGACACCTGTGCACTAGAAGGTGCCACCTCCCGCGGTGACGCACCTGACATCTCCGTTGACCTTGGAGACACATTTTTGGTCTCCAAGGCAAGATTCTTAATATGCTCCTGCTGCAGCGATAATCTCTTAATCTCGCCTTGTAAATCAGTCAGGCTTTTATTGAGTTTATTCAGAGATGTGTTGTACTGGCCCTGGTCGTGGGAGTGACCAGCGTCCACTCTGTCCCTTGGTGTGGATGGACCAGAGTAGGCCCTGGGAGGTGACTCAGAGGGCCGAGGTGAGCCCTCATGTGACCTTGAGCCTTCATATGACCTTTGACCTTGAGATATCCCCGGCCTGACCTGTACATCTTCTTCCTTGAACCATCTCTGTTTTACTCCATCAATTTTCTGCTGGATATTTTCCCTTGAGAAAGTTCGCGGTCCTTTATCATCGTCCGAGGAAGACGATGTGCTACGCCCTCTGGTGACTAAATTAATGGAGGATTTTGCGCCATCCTTGGCAGATAAACCGGTCTTTGCCAATTGGGGCTCACTTTTCAAAGCCTTAATCTGAACGTTCATTGGCTTCTTAGAGTCGTCTTCACCATGCCCTTTGTTTAAAACTTTTAGGAAAGCAGCCTTGCTGATTTGATCAAGCTCCTTTTGTCGCTCGGCCTCCTTTCGCTTCTTTTCAGCTTCCATGGTGCGCCTCTTTTGTTCCAGGCGGAAGCGAATATCCAACAGGTCTGTTGCCAGGCGCCCTGAATCCTCGCCCTGGGTGGTGGAAGTGGCGCCATCTTCTGGCTGAGTCTGCTGAGAATGCTGCTGCTTTGCCACCTTTTGCCAAGTAGTGAGATTAGGCAGAGTGAAAGAAGTCGCCTTTTTCTCCTTGTTGTGATGAGATTCCTCTCTCATGGCTGATTTGGGTTCTTTTCCCCCTCGCTGCTCCTGTTCTGACTGCATGTACACCATAGGGCCAAGACTCTCCCGAAGCTTTTTAATTTCTGCAAAACTTGTCGTTGGACTCTCTTTCGTTTTGCCTTCCACTGCAGTAGTAGGCATGCTTTTACTCACGGCCGTAGAACCATCAAGGCGAATAGGTTTTGGAACAAGCAACGAGTCTGGCCTTGACACCATGTTGTCTTGCTGTCTAGCTTGACTAAACGGATCGCCATTTTGACTTTCTTTAAAGTTCTGGTCTTGCTGAAGTTTATGCAGTTCATGATCTGAGTTCTCTGAAGAGATAATGTCGCTGTGGCTATCCGAGTCGCCATTATGAAAAGAGTTATCTAAAACAGGTATTCCAGAGGACCTTGCCATTTCTGCAGAGCTAGGTATAACAGTATAGCTCTCTCCTACTGGCCCACGCTTCAGCGGCGTCGATGACAGCAGACGAGGTGTCTTTTGAACAGAGGATGAAGATGGCTCTGTGAAATCCTCGAAGTACTTTGCCAAATCCGACTGGTTGCCAGGTTCTTCAATAGGAGGGCCATCGTTGTCATCAGGGGTGACAAATTCCTCATCCTCGGAATCAGTCATATCACTATCGAATCCAGGTACAGCTCTGGCTAGATGTGTGTTGCCAAAGCCGCCGTCATATCTATCAACAGCTTCCCCACTTTCTATATCCTTACTCAAGCCATTGGCGGTTGTCTCCTTTGACAACTTAAGCCGCGCTGGTACAAGAGGCTCTTGTGTTCTAGAGGAAGAGCTACGAGCTGAATTCTGTCGCGAGGACGACACGCTTTGTACCTCCATGTCGTTGGCGTTGCCATGGTGTTGGGAATGGGGATGTTCCGGTGGAACAAAGACAGCATCACGTGGCTTGACATAACCTGAAACCAAAAACATGACATGGATTACTCACTGATAACATGATGCTAAGATCTTCCCACTTTTATATTTTTCGTTGAAAACTTGAGTTAAAGATGGGTGTTTAATATGAAATGTTAACATTTTCATAATTCAAAATAGATTATAAAAACAAGACACAACTACCAATCACATCTGCAATTTTATGGTCCAGATTATCAGTACCTTGTAAAAAATGCAAATGAAATTCATACCAACAAACTTCAAAGTATAACTCATGTCTATTAAGCAATCTGTATTATGGAGTTCTTTTTAATCATCCAGATAATAATCAAAACACTTTAAGGACTTTAAGAGCTCCTTTTCCAGAAGTCTTACCTATATTAGGTGGTTTATCCTCCAGATCTCGTGACTGGTCAAAACTGGCGCTGACGTCTGTGTCGATGCTGACATTGGCCAGTAGAGAGCTACCCTGGCTGTCCTTGGTGGAATGACCCAGCCTGGAAATACAAGTTCACAGTCAATAGTTTTCATTATCTCTAGAACCTGATTACATTTTTTTTATGATACTAGTGTTTATATGCTTATAACAGGATTAGGGTTTTATCAATCCTACAAAAACTGCTTGGACATGTTATTTCCTTTTTACATTTGTATGCTTAATTGATACTGTCTGTATCTCTTCACTCACTGACAACACAAAAGACCGGCTATAACTTGATAGCTCTCCACCCCACCCCCACATACACCCCACCCCTACCCCATTCCAACCCACCCCCACATACACCCACCCCTACCCCATTCCAACCCACCCCCACATACACCCACCCCTACCCCATTCCAACCCACCCCCACATACACCCACCCCTACCCCATTCCAACCCACCCCACCCACCCAAGTCTGCACATCAAACCTGTGGATAACATATGAAAAGGTGTAAAACCATGTAGTGTACTTCCATGTTAGAACCATATACGTAAGTGTGTCAGTACATACTGTATCAGTTCAGTATACCACTTGATGTCAACTAGTTTTTAAGCATTTAGGTCTCCATACCTTTGCATCTCAGCTTGATTCCTCTCCTGCCAGGCCAGAACTGACTGTGTGATCAGGTCTCTCTCCTCTGCCGAGTTCAGAGAGTTAGATTTCCTCGTTACATCATCTGAAATGCAACATTTATGGCATTTTTACCCCAAGTCATTTCAGCTTTAAAGGCATTTATTAAACCAACACTTTAGAGTCAAATTTAAATGAGAGTGATTTAATCTTAGTTGTGCTAAGTTTACCTATAGCAACATGGCAAGAACTTCAGTAAAAATGAACATTATGCAAAACTGCTGAATAAAATGTAAATGAAGACATATATTTAGTCATTAAACAAGAGAAAGAGGGAAAAACACAGAGAGAGAGAGAGAGGGGGAGAGGGAGAGAGAGAGAGAGAGAAAAGGGGAGAAAATAATTTTTTCCTTTAAACAAATAATAATAATAATACTAATATCATTCACATACCTTGACCATCCTGTGTTGTACTATTTCTATGTTGTTGAACCCTCTTGTTCAGCAGTGGTTGCCTGGCTGGGGGAACACTGGAATGAAATAAGGAAGAACTATAAAATACAGTGACAACTTACGGTGAAGAAATCTTACAATGGCAATTTATAATGAACAGTGCTTACAATGACACACTGCAATGAACAGTTCTAACAATGGCTTAAAGACAACAGGTAAATGTCTACATGAATGTTCATATGACATACTGTTGATTTATATCTCATCAAAAATCTTTTAAAGGTCTATTACTAGTACTAGGTTCACATTGTCATATAAAAATTTCACTTAAAAAATTTATTTCTATAAAAAGTATCTTCCTTATATCTCTCTAAGAATTAGAATTTCTAGCATAATAAATTTACCATGCAGCTTGAAGTTGTAAAAATAAATAAATAAATAAATAATTTTATCCCCATTCTCATTATTACTATTTTGTCCTTACATTAATCTTTCCTGCAATTTGAAACAGATCATGGAACTTAAATGCACTGAGGTTGGTACAGAAGGGATCACAAAGTTCTCACCTGACTCCCCCAGCATTGCGCAGGTCAGGATTACTACTGGAGAACGCGCTGTGCACGCTGTCGTGCTGAAAACTCTTCTTGGTGGCGTTGCTGATTGGAACTGGAGGTTTGCAGAGCTTCTTTGCTGGGCTGTTTGACTGTGTGGCTGAAAAAGGCAGAGAAAAATGTTGACAAGCTAGCTAGTTGACCTGTATTTATCACTATAATCACTGGAACAAAATTTTAAGTTTTAATCTCAAAACACAATCAGGAACAGGTGATTCATAACCTTTTTAGCAGCATTGTAAAAATATGTGGCCATACTTGCATCAGGACCAACATAGACCAGAAGCAGACTAAATGACATCACCAGTTTTGACCAATTTACATAATACTTATTGCAACTTACATATTTAAAGTTTATTGCAACTTGTACATCATATATATCAGAGTCAAGGTATCTGGCGACAATGTAAAATATATATCGAAATACTGTTCAACACATCTCAGACTACTAATCAAATGTTAAGCCTTCATTCTTCAGACATCACCAATTAGTCTACTTCAGGACTAAGTTAATCCCTGTGTGAATGCGACCAAATCTGACCACTGAGTCCATTAAACAAGATTGTCACCAGATTGTGACAAACTGACCAACAGACAGACCAATCTCTCATCCCATCAGGTGTCTTAGTTTAAATGTGTCCACTTTACAGAGGTCAAGAAGAGGTCACTCTGACATTGGACACAGGCCTCTTTGATTGTGTTACAGGTTTTTAATTGACTCCTGGCATCTCTCTTCGTATAAATACATATGAAACTGACATTTTATTGGGACATTTTGTGGTGGTTAACAATCAACTAGAACTTAAAAAACTTTGTCAACAATTTTTTTATTTTATATTCCATATTAGAGACAAGTTATTAACTGGCCCCCTCTACCAAGACCTGGGCTCAGTATCTCAAAAGGTTCGCTATGTTGCTTACAGGCCCAAGCGTCTCTATTCCATGGCCCCGTATCTCGAAATAGAATCGGTTATGGAATCGAGACACTTGTGCACGTGCGCAACATAGCAAACCTTTCGAGATATGGAGCCCTGAAAGCTTCTTTATTACTTGTTTGTTGTCATTTAAATTTTTTGTAAAGACCATGCAGTGACTCAACATTTTGACATTATTCAGTCCATAATGACAACAGTTACAGCACTCAATTGCTGTGGACATGTAGATTTATTATGTTATTAAGTTGGAAGATTTCTATTCTTAAACAGAATATCACAAAACCCTTTCTCTCTGTATTCTCTCCTAATCCAGGTTCCAACTTTTACAATTGCCATTCCCAAAAATCACCAAGATTATTCATATGATATTTATTAATAAATTCCACAAGGCCAAAGGCACATAATATGAATCCATGTATCCCTAACCAAAAATGCTGTACCTGATTTATCCCTTGCCCCTTCAATAACTCAACCTACTGCTGGGATCCACTGGTCCACACCTGTGGTCATCTAGTGGTCATTTATAGTCCCTCAGTGGTCATCTAGTGGTCATTTATATTTCTCCACTCCACTATCTTGCCACAGGACAGGGAACAATTAGATGCTCAGTGTGTGACGACTTTTATATCACCATACACAGTGATGGGTATGTGTATGGTAAGTGCTCGGGAATTTCAGACTTTCGAATTTCAGACATTTATTTTGTTGTATTATCTTCTTGTGATAATTACTGAAGGTACTTTTCAGACACTTACTGAATCACTTTTTTAAACTTTCTCATAATTTTTTTTTTTCAATTATTACTAACAAAATTCCTTTTTCATAAAAACACATCATCAGTTTTGTAACTTTTGTTCAACTTCACAAAGTAATTACCCTTTTATTTTTGCTTTTGTGTCAGAGAGCCCAGGGCTAGAAAACTACCACCAATTATCTCCCTTTACTTGACATCTAATTCATCACCACACACACAACATTCATGAACTTTTGCCAAATCCTCTCCCTCATTCCTATTTTTGGTCAAAAATATATCTTACATCTTACTATAATTTCTATCAGCGATATGAATGAAGATCTTATAGTAAAGGTGACTTTATCATTGATTTTCAGGACAAAATTCTGTACTAGTATATGGTATCTTCAATGGAATGAGCTATAAGTGCTACAGTAGCTTCTGTTAACTTGGCTTTTTGGAGCTTTCCAAAGACCATAATTTACAGACTAGCAGGCCAGGGGTTCTTTTTCTGAAAAATTTGACCTTTTTACCTCCTTCCCACATCAACTTTTGATGCAGAGTGGACCTTTCTGGTCAAAAGAGCAGTTCTTTTTAACCCCTCCCCCTTTCTCCCCCAAATACCTCTCCAACAAGCCTGGCCTAGTGAAGTTTCAGGTTAATTTACCTGACATGCCATATGTGAGGAACATCAAATTTCAACCTACACACACACATACCTTCCAAACTCACCTTTAACATTAGCAACCTTAACCCAAAGACTGCCCTTGAACTACCACTGGTCACTCTTGACTAACCAAGCAATACCCTCTACATGGACAGGAATAATAGCCACCCCTTGGGAAAAGCTAACATATCCCCTTTTATTACATCACCAACAATAGAAATACTATAATCATACAGGTCTAGGTTCAATGGAGTTTGTTTGACTTGAGATTACGGTCTTTATATGCTAAAGAGTTCCTTTCTGCTTTTTCTTCTGTTTGATTTGTGTACACCGGCAAACAAGGTGATAAAAGTGGCATTATTTGGGATTGTGTTTAACCTTTTCCTTTGGTGTAATTTTAGCACGCAGGGCTTCACCGTTTGTATTTTTGGTGTTTCTTTTATTATCATAACAATAATTTTCTTAACAGACTCTACAAGGGTTAACTTTAAAAATGTTCACTTTACTTTAGAAAAATATGCACTTTTGCCCCTTTTCACCGGAATACCAAGGAGAGTGATTCAAGACATTTTTCATTTTCTCCAAAAAAGATGGACATTGCACCTTTTTTTAAGTTTATCCATCTTAAAAAATGGCATACAATCTAAATAAAATTTTGATTCAGAGCAACTTTAACTAGTCAAAAGGGCACACCTTTCAGACACATCCCATGTTTTTTAGCCTAAATTTGTAATCTTAATTTATGTCAATACTCTCTGCAACTCATTTATTTTTCATTTCACACATGGGTGAAAATTGTAAAAACTGAAAATCCTAAAAACATAGCTTGTAATTTCTCATCGTAATTAAACTTTATGAAAAAAAAACAAAAAAACAAAAAACAAAAAAAAAAAAACAATCAAAATGAAGACTCAAAATCCTGAGGTCAGGCATAATCTGGAAACTTTCATCCATGTTCAAATAACTACTAAATCATTTCATTACTTCATAAAACTCACCATCTTCTTGAGCAATATTCTCTTTATCATTCAGTGGATTCTTCACAAAGGTGGCGCCCTCTACCTCAAAGTAGTAGAACAGGTGTGCCAGAAACGCCAACAAGTTCGTCTTTATATTAGAGTGCGTATAGAGGAGATCTTCGTACTTGAAGTGGAAACACGGCATCGGTATGTGTTGACTACAAAACTTTTCCACCAGAGAGAGGTTGTATATGGAGTCTGCTATTCCCATTACTGGCTTTAAACACACATCTGAAAAATTGAGAAAAAAAATCAGTAAAATTTGAATCCTATCTTTTTATTTTACAGATATTTTATAAGAATGAAGTAACTTTTCTTCAATCAACAGCTAATATTACCTTCAATATTTCAATGTTTCTCAGGACATCTTCATCAGGGAATTAAGAAAATTACTTTATTATTATAACATAACACAGCTGATGAAATTCTTCTTACAGTCAGAAATTTTCATTATGAGTGGGCTGTTGCCATAGCTACTAAATTACATGCTGAATACATACAGAAGAAAGGGAAAATGATTGCATCTTATTCCAAGCTTTCGAATTAACACCAAATCATAATTTACAAACAAATTACTGTGTGGCCTGGTGAAAAATTTACCCCCCCCCAACAAGAAATGAAGAGATTCATAACTCTCATCCTTTACTTATATTCATACATGAATGCCTGTGTGACAGTGTGATGTATCACTTGAAGGTCAGCAAGTAACTAAATCAATGTATGAGTGAGAAAGAAAACTTGTATGTCTACACACATTTAGTTTTTTTTTTTTTTTTTTTTTTTTGTACATTCCTGATGCTCTTATGCTTATTTTGTAAGTGCAACTTTCACATATTTGTACATATTTTAAAATTTATGTGTTCCATTTATATACATTTGCATATATTCCTATGTTTCACCCATCACTTACCTTCTATAGGTAGTAATTCTGGAGAGTAAAAACTGACTAGTACAGCAATGCAGCAGCCATCACTTACCTTCTATAGGTAGTAATTCTGGAGAGTAAAAACTGACTAGTACAGCAATGCAGCAGCCATCGCTGACATCCTTCAGGATATCATCCAGCACGGGGACCTCAGGTAGAGACTTGGGGTTCAGCTGCTTCTTGTTGATGCGGATCTAGAAGAAGTTGGAGATAGACAGAGAGATTATAACTATTAAGTTGACCTATATGTCTAGCATTCAGCTTCCATATACTATACTAGTAAAAGGGTAAACGTTATCAGTTATTGTTGGACCGAGCTATTGTGTCACTACAAAAACCTATGTTTAGCATTTAGCTATATTATACTACAAAGATACTTTATTCACTTTAAGGACAAAAATTATGAAATACAAGCCCTTTTCAAGGTTTATAGTAATGAGAAGCATTTTTCAAGGCCGCAAACTGAATTCAAGTGCAGGGCTAAATTTGAGCACTTTTCAAGGCTGTAAGAACCCTGAGGATATTCCTTTTAATTTAATTAACTTACTCCATGTGAGGTATAAAAGCATTATTGTAAAGTTGAACGTTTTTTGCTTTGGGAAAAATGAAAAAAAAAACTTACCCTCTGTGTGTCCTGCTGTTCTATTAACTGTTGTTGTTTCACTTTTTGCTCCTTTTCGAGTCTGTATCTGACTGCACTGCAAACCTTGTTGATCCAGAACAAAAGGGCATCCTCCAAGTCATACGGCAGCTCACTAGACGCATTGAAGGAGGAAAATTTTCTGGAAAAAAATTATGATAAAAAAATCTTATTTCTCCACATATTTAAGACAACTTGCTGATGAGACAATGACAAGTATCAAAAGGAAAATTGAAAAAAAAAAAAAAAAGTAAAATACTGAGCATCTTCCAAATGATAGATTGAAATTTCCAGAGGCAATAAGGGGGTAAGTAAATACTAGTAAATATATTCCATGTTAAAAGTATCTAATATATCTACACAAACTAGCCAACATAAGCTGATCGTTATGGCTACATTTCAGAGGTAGCAGGCTTAAAAGGTCTCCATCTGTATTAATAACTAGACTGTCCAGTCAAAAGTCCAGTACTCACTTGACCGCCCTGACCACTGCCTCCACAGACACCACCTCCCTGATGTGGGCCTCCATTAGAGCATCCATCATGGCCAGGTGCGCTTCCTGAAATATGGGAAATTGATTAAAAATATCAGAAATACTATCATCTTTTCTTATAATTTGTCAAGGTAATGACGGATTTGATTAAAATTGCTGATTTGAAAGATTTCCGATCTGTTCAGCTTACACACACACACACATTTTGGTATCCTTGAATGACTCCAACTTATGTATATAAAGTGAATGTTGTACAATAAAAGGCATAAAATTCTTTATGTATCAAGTACTGCTGTTATGTTACTTTGATACTAGACAAGTGAAATTTAATACCTCAAAGGGAAAAAAAATACAATTTTCTTCTCATTAATATCATTAAAGCTTACTCAGCTCTGTTAAACAATTTTCTTTGTGTGAAAGGACTTCATCTTGTACACATGCCAAACAATCAAAATCTTCCGGAGCATCAGAAGCTGTTTTACTACTTTTTTATAATTCAGCTTCACATAAAAAAGACCTTGTGTGTTTGTAAGGTGCACCCTCTGAAGTAACATAAACTGCAGCATAACTTTTTTTATAACTCCGCTGTGTATAAGATGATATAGCTGGGCCTTAGATGAAACAGTATATCCTTTTGTATCCATGCCTTAATATGTTAACCTTGCTCTGTGTAAAAAAAAATCTTCTGATACTTCGTGAATTCCACAACTTTTTATACCTCAGCTATGTGTAAATGATATCAATAGAAACTTGTACCTGCAAGATGAACTTTGTCTAATTTTATCTTGTATAAGTTTCAGCAATGACAGCTGTGTCATATATATGTACCCATTTTTTTTGGCAGTCTATGCTGTTTTACTCTTATACCACAGGCCTGTAGCTGGAGGCTACATGATAATGAGGGAAACAAAAGCCAAGAGGGGTGGGGGTGGGGCCAGAATTAGCCGTGAAATAAATCTATCAAACTCCAAGATAAGACAAGTGCCTCATCTACCTAAGCTATGGTCAGTGTCACATCAGGCCAAAAAGTTCCAACTTAGAGTATATCTGAGTCAGGGAATCCTATGGGGGCGATGTACCTGATTTGCCCACTTGATGATGTCATTTACCAGTTCAAGTTAGACTTGTTTTGAATGTGGCTCAGGGTATATATACTCACTTGTTGGAATGTGTCAGTCTTTGCCAGCAGGTGCTCTGTGACAGCGACCTCGTTACTCTGTACTACATATATCCCTCGTTTTGATAGTGCCTGTATCACATCCCAGTGACCTGGAGAGGAGTGAAATTAGAGTTAAATTATGACAAGAGAGTGCGAGAGCAAGAGAGAGAGCGGGTGATATCTCTTGATAAAAAAGCCAATGAAACAGTGAATATGATACATTAATTTATTAAATTTTGTTATTATTATTTTCAATGAGAGAGAGAGAGAGAGAGAGAGAGAGAGAGGGTGAGAGAGATGTACCTTGCCATTTTGTGGAGTAATCTCGTGTAATATTGGCACAGGCTCTACAGTAGACCTCCCCTGATGTCAGGAGCTGTTTCACCTTTGGCTGCAACACATTGCTTTCCTGTAACAAAAAGAAGCAAAAGTGGTATTTCATAAACCATTTTAAACAATCATGTATGATTCCAATGTACATCAGACAAAAAACTCATACCATTTCATTAATCAAAATGAAGCTCAGAAATATTTCATTATTTGAAATCAACTTATATGCAATAAATGGTAAGTTCTTGAGCAGTTATTTTTCTACTTCAGCATTACAACAACAGATTCTGGGAAATATTTATTATATAAATATTTTTGGTTACAAAAATAACACAATATAAAGTACACTGCTTCAATAAAATTCAAATACAAGCAGATGTTTCTGAAAAAAAAAAAAAAGATTTTCTTCACTCACCTCCCCACTTAAGTTGACAGGATCTGTTAAGTCATGAGGTATGGATCCTGAATACGCCTTCTCTAGGACCCAGAGGATGGAAACTCGGAGCTTGGCCTGAAAATATACGACCAGGGTTAAAATTGACATGTATTCAGGAGTAAAAAAGGCAGCACTAGTATACAGGTCACAAAACAAATAGAAAGATGGATAACAGTGCTCTGGGGTTAATAAAATTACTTTTAATTGCAAGGGATCTTTATTCCTTGAAATGTGCATCATATATACATTTCTGGGGTAGCTCTAGCAATTTTTTTTTTTGCCCGCTTCACCAAATCACTATTTTCTCAACACCTTTTTTACCAAATGAATTAAATTTGACAAAAAATGAGTCAAATCAACCCTATTTTGTTTCACCCATTCAATTCAGTTTTAGCATTTGGCTAAATTGGCAAGCATCAGCGCTACCCCAGCATTTACGTTTCAGGTATGTTAATGTGGCATTCCACATTGCTCAAAGTAAAAGTACATGTTTTATATGAGTATTACCTTCACTTTTTATCCAAACATACCAAATAACCCGAATATAGTATTTGAGGAACCAGACCAAAACGCTAGAAAGTGAAATGTGCATTCCACTTCATTTCCTCGATACCAAAGCAAAGATACCTGTTTTATATGAGTTTGTTTACCATCAGTCTAGGTAAAATTACAATATCTTCAGTTCACCAAAGCCCAGTCATGAGTCATCCGGCATTTGTCTTTTGCCCCTGCTAAATCGTTAACGAGAAAATAGCTTAATTGTGAAACAGCTCAATTTTTTCTAAGGCTGTCGTATTTGTTCCAAGGAAGCCGTCAGACACAAGTGATTAGTCACAGTTTAGGTGCAATGCCGTCTTCATAAGACTTATTTTCATATGATAATGAGCTGATTGCTTTACACTTTATTGGCTTCTTCTGACCTTAAGATTCAACTTCCCAAGCATATTA